CTTTCTATTGCACTCAGGTTACATTCCTTTACCTCTTTCTATTGCACACTAAGGTTACGTTCCTTTACCTCTTTCTATTGCACTCATGTTACATTCCTTTACTTCTTTCTATTGCACTCAGGTTACGTTCCTTTACCTCTTTCTATTGCCCTCAGGTTACGTTCCTTTACCTCTTTCTATTGCACACTGAGGTTACGTTCCTTTACCTCTTTCTATTGCACACTGAAGTTACGTTCACACAGAATGGAATGTGGCCGCTGAATAGAGATCTGATTCAATAAAGTAATATAATAATAAGTAATAAATTAAGTTCATAAGTTCAACATCAAGTTTAGCTTTTATATATCTTTTATATATTTACCCTCTGTTTATGGTTCATGTGTCTACAGACAGACAGACAGACAAAGACAGGAAGAACAGTCAGACAGATTTAATGAATTATAACTTAATTATACCAGTTTCTTTTTGTCTATAAACTTTTTATAACTTGATGCTTTCACAATGTTTTCTATGTTTCATTAACGCCAATAAAGTATATAAAATTAAATTGAAATAACAAAGAGACACAAACAGTTTCTACACAGCTCCCCAGCTGGATTTAGATAATTACTTACTTACTATGTGAGTGCTCTGGTTAATACATATTTTATTTTTTATTTTACAAGCCTCATGTTCTTGTTTTTAGTCTTTTGGATGCTATTGCTGAGATGCTTCACTGATGGTCCTTTAAAGTTTGAATGAACTTGGACTACATGATGATCCCTCCATAGACTAACATAGGCTGTTGATTGAAATCACATGAGTTATTTATATAAAACTTGTATCAACAGTTTTATTAATGGGGTCATATCTATACAAAAATAAGATAAATATATGTAGATTATGGCAAAAACCCAGAATAGTTAAACATCAATAAACAACGTTTTAATGCTCTTCAGATACCACCAACTCTCTGGAGAGGGAAATATATTTACTTAGACACCAACAAGGTGACCATGGGCGTAATAACTATTATTGCTACTTAGTTAATTACAGTTTTAATTACATTACAGTCTTGTAGCAGTCGCTTTTATCCAAAGCGACTTACAATAAGTGTATTCAACATATTCAAGAGAACTACTAGTCACCATAAGTCATAAGTGCATCTCCTTTAAACAAGCATCTGAGAGCATAAACCAGAGCAGACGTACAGAAACAAACTAGTATGAATGCAATAAGTGGTGAGTGAAGGCTCAGGGTAGTACTTAGAAAGAAAAGAAACCATTTTTATTGTCATATACACGAAATTTGCCTTCTGCATTTGACCCATCCCTGTATATAAGGAGCAGTGGGCTGCCAATGATAGGCGCCCGGGGAGCCGGGGGTTCAGTGTCTTGCTCAGGGACACTACGACACATGCCACATCCCAGTCGAGGATCGAACCGGACAACCCAGACAACCCTCTTAACCCAGTGAGCCATGGCCGTGCCTGATGAAAGATGGGCAGCGACTCTGCTGTCCTGACGTCAGTGGGGAGTTCATTCCACCACTGTGGGGCCAGGACAGGAAACAGCCGTGACCGGGTCGATCGGCCGCAGGGACCTCTGAGCGACGGGGCAACCGATCGTCCCGAGGCAGCAGAGCGAAGTGGTCGGGCGGGGGTGTAGGGCTTGACCATGGCCTGGAGATAGGAAGGAGCTGTTCCTTTCACTGCCCTGTAGGCTAGCACCAGAGTATTAAACTGGATGCGAGCTCTTACAGGAGCCAGTGTAAAGAACAGAGAAGGCAAGTTGTGTGGGAGAACTTGGGGCGATCAAACACCAATTTCACCGAGCTGTATTTACTGTATCCAGCAGGTCACACGTTGGCTGGTTTACTAAAGTGGTATGAACCCAAAATAAACATATTCAGCTGTGATTCATTGCAATGAACCGATTAAACGGATGCAGAAAGAACTACATGATGATACTGATGTGTAAAAAGTCTGGATTTTAAGCTTTGTCAGGTTTGCCAGCAAGATGACGAGCAAACGACTTAAAAATGTTGTTTATGTAAATAGGGTTTGGATCGATCAGTGCTAAGCTATGCTAACATTGTAGCTGCTCCATCAACACTCAGAATGACATCATCTAAATACTACAGCACACACATCACCTCCTCACTATGTTAACCAGTTAGCACCTCCTGCTACAGTCGTTGTATTTGTGCATGTTTTTACACGGCAGATTTTTTTTTTATCGTCTCGTGTCCTTTAACACAGAAGATAACCAGCAGAAAAGATGGAGGTCTTTGTAGGAGTCTTTGAGATGTGAGCTGACTTTATGCTTCGTTGCTACACATTCTCTTTTTAGCAACATTCTGTGTTGAACCTCCAAACACCTTTATTGATCCCTTTGGGAAGTGATCAGAGGCAGAAACATAAAGTATAACATCACCACTTTGTCATCCTTCATTTTGTGAACTAATGTCCTTTTTAACAATAAAAGCTTACAGTGAGGTTTAAATTGGATGTCTGATATACAAAACACCTTATTTATTTTCTATTAAACATTAACATATCTTATTAATATATCTTTATCTGGTGCAGTGAGGACTGAGCCGTTTGTTGTTAATGGAATTTAAATTACATTTCTGAAATACATTTAGATGAAGAGGCACTCCGACCAGAATTATGTTCTCAATGCATATTTGGTTTGAATTATGCTGTTAACATTATTTGGTGTGAAGGATGTTTTACTCTTGAGGGACACTCAAGACTCACTCACAGGTCTCTGGTTCCTCCTAGAGACCATCTCAGAGCTGGTTCATAGACTCACTCACAGGTCTCTGGTTCCTCCTAGAGACCACCTCAGAGCTGGTTCATAGGACTCACTCACAGGTCTCTGGTTCCTCCTAGAGACCATCTCAGAGCTGGTTCATAGGACTCACTCACAGGTCTCTGGTTCCTCCTAGAGACCATCTCAGAGCTGGTTCTGTGTTAGTGTGTGTAGTTCTGCTGAATCTTCTATTGTGAAGACCTTTGTTACTGGTCCATGATGTTCATGTATTTTACACTATATTTATTGTCTGTATCCTCTCACCTTCTCCTCTGTGTCTGTGTGTGTGTGTGTGTGTGTGTGTGTGTGTGAGAGTGTGAGAGAGAGAGCTCAGGTGCTGTCAGCCATGCGTTGTGTCAGGGGAGTGACCCTAACACACCTCCCTGAAGCCCTGTGTGTGTGTGTGTGTGTGTGCGTGTGTGTGTGTGTGTGTGCAGGGTGTGTTTTAAATGTGTGTATTTGTGTTATTGTCCTTGATTTGAATGGATGTATTTCTGAGCTTTTTCATTCTATTCAGTCATGTGTGGTGGGATCATATGCGTAAAGCTTAATGTCTGTGTGTGTGTGTGTGTGTGTGTGTGTGTGTGTGTGTGTGAGTGTGTGTGAGAGAGTGTCTGTGTGTGTTTTCATGTGTGAGGTGATTGTGTGTCCAAGTGAATGGGTGTGTGTATTTGTGTGTTCTCGCGGGCTGCTAAGTGAAACCGGGTTAATTTGTGTCGTTCAGCCAGGTGTGACCAAAGGAATGTGTGTGTGTGTGTGTGTGTGTGTGTGTGTGTGTGTGTGTGTGTGT